CCAGCTAACAATCTAAGCAACAGAGGAGAGGCTACCTTAAATGCCCTCCCCTGATAATGAGATGACTGACTTATATGCCACCCGGTAGCCCTCATCCAGTAGCTACTTGTCTTTTAAAAAAAGGAAAATTCTGTTGATTCTTCAAATTACTGTGTTGAGGCATATGATGTTAATCAGCATACAGAAATCCGCTGAGGAGACACCCACAGCTAAACCTTGAACTGAACTGAAATCCAGATGCAGAGAAGGACTGATGAGCAGAGGGGTCCAGACCCCCTGAACATGGGTTTCAGTGAGGAAACCTCGGAAATCTATGGGACCTCTTGTAGTTGTTCAGTACTTAATCCCTAGCATAGGTGTGGACTTTGGGAGCCCATTCCACACAGAGGAATATTCCCTGAGCCAAGACACATGCGGGTGGGCCTAGGCCCTATTCCAAAGGATATGATAAACTGATGACACCATATGGAAGGCCTCACCATCCAGGGGAAGCAGAAAGGATACTGATAGGTAGGGTTTTAGTGGGGTGGGGGCGGAGTAGGGGCAGACGGGAGGGAGAAGGGAACTGGGATTGTCATGTAAAACAATCTTGTTTCTAATTCAAATAAAAAGATCTGCAAAAAAAAGAAAGAAAGAAAAGAAAAGAAAAAAGAAAGAAAAGAACTGGGTCACAGCATTTGGAAGGCTGAGAACCACTGCCACAGAGCCTTCAGAGTGAACAGCTCTGTTAATACCTCAAGTCCACTGAAAGTTATTTTTGACTTGTAGTCTACAAAAGTGGTTTGAATGAAAAACGTTGTCCACAGGTTCACGTATTTGGTAGTGCTGTTAAGGAATCTTTAGGAGGTTCAGCCTTGCTGGAGGGAGTATATCACTGAGGGCAGGTTTAGGGGGTTTACAGCCTTCTTCCACTTTGTACTTCCACATTTTCTGCTTCCTGTATGTGTTTGATATGTGATCTCTCAGCCTGTGCTCTTGCTGTCTGCTGTCATGTCTTCTCACTATTATGGACACCCCCACTGGGACTATAACCCTAAGTAAACTCTTCTCTAAGTTGCTTTTGGTCTAATATTTTATCACAGCAGCAGAAAAATAACTAACAAGCAGTATACAAGAATACATCTGTGCTCTTTTAAACCACCAAAATTGTGCTCAATTGTTACCATAGCAATAGGAAATAGATGCAGTTGTTGATATTGTAAGAACAGTTTTGTAGGAAGGAAGAGGTAGAATGGAAGGAATTATAGTAGAATGAGGCAGAGCTTCTGAAGGTATCCATCTCTCAGAAGTTTTCACAGAAAACCCTATTTGAGCAGAAAACCTCATTTGAGCCTCTAAGGAAAAGTATTCAGAAAAGATCTGAAAGGCTAATTACTTCTGCAGTCCTATACAGTACCAAGACAGGCAGCCTTCTTCTCAACCTTCCTTAGGAAAGGTTAGTGCCCAATGGAGTTCAAGAGTTCCCACGGTGGCCCTAGCTCTGGATAGTAAACTATGATAACCCTTCTTGGTCCACACATACATGACTCTTGTTCACCATGGAGACCAGGATGCATTATAATATGACCCTAAATCCTATACCTGCCACAGATCTTCTCAGCCTATGAAAACAGAAATACATGTTGACCTTGGAGGCAGAGCCAGCAAAGGCTGGCCTTTGGGCACTGATACTTTGCATTTTACAACCCCTCTGGTTCAAAGAAAATAACTACCAAAGATAAGCTTCTTAATTGGAAAACCTGAAAAGTAAACCTTCAGGAAAAAAGAGAAATATTAGAGTCATACAAAAGATGGAGAATAGTAACACCCAAACACAATGTCAGTCAATGGAATAGAAACACATCCAGCCAGGATCCCATAGGAGAGTCAAGAGCATATTGAAATGTTTTACATGAGGTATTAATGATAGAAAACATTCTGTCCCTAGAATCAGGGGTGGCTGGTATCAACAGAGACTCTTAAGAGATTCTGTAACAGCAGAAGGAGATGGAGATGATATAAGCTAAAGGCAAGCTGAGTCTGTGACCAAAGTAAGCTACTCAATGCATCAACATGTTATAACTCCCCTCCAGAAGAACCCTGACAGCCATGCAAGGTTATACAGAAGATCCCAGCCATCCCAAGTCCCCACAACAAGGGCAACCCATACTCTGGACACTGAGGCAAGAAAAACAAAATTTAGTTTTAAAACGTCCTCATAACATGAATAAAGAGGCCAGTGAAGTGGCTTGTGAATAAAGGTACTTGCTATCAAGCCTAATATACTGAATTCAGTATCTGGGACTCACATAGTGAGAGAGAAGCAATTCCTACAAGTTATCTTTTGACTCCATAGGCATGAAACATATGTGCATACACAGAGAGAAATAAATAAATGAAAAATGAGTCACAGGTGTTCAAATACATAATGGCACTAAGCTATCAGTTGGAAAGCTCCCTTACACAGAGGAGCTTATTCCTTGGCTTGGTAAGTTAAGCATTGCTCAGTGTTCTTTGTTATGAATTTAATGCCGAGAGAAGAAAATGGATACTGACAGAGATTGGAAGTGGGGGTGGGGTTGAAAAAGAACTGCCAGAGGAGCTGAGGTTTAGAACTTAACAATAACTCATCCAATATTACTTTGTAAGTGTATTCTCAAAATTGAATTTAAAAAAAAATAAGAAGGAAAGGTCATGACTGCTTCTAGGTATGGTGGAGGAGAAAGTTTATTGTAGATAAAAGGAGGGACATCGATAGAGGCAGGGACAGGGACATCTGGAAGAATTCTGAGTGGACATGACCAGACTGAGCTCGGCTATGTGGGGAATGGGGGAGTGGAGGGAGAGAGGGGAACCAGGTGCAGCAGTCAGGAGGCCAAAGGGACAAAAAGGGGTGAGTAACAAAAATGTCTGGATTATATAAGGAAGAGCCTTTGGGAGAAGGGCAGCCCACCCCTGGGCTGGAGAGTTCAGGGTAGAGGGCAGGATATGCCAGCCATACCCTGTAACAGGTAGGGACTGAGGGATGCTGGGAGAACCTGGAGGCCAGATCTGTTTTGATATTTGTCCTCAGACATTTGTCCAGGGGGTTGAAATTTAACAAAAATAAAGCTAGTCTCATTCCAATGGATGGAGAAATTAAGACATTCAGAAACTACAGATTGGAGGATTTATTTCCATTGTGACTACTGGCTTGTAGTATCAGTCTTTTGTTCTGCATGACATCTCATGTCTTGCAAACTAGCAAGATCCCTGAATTTGGCAAGGATCCTGCTCTGTGAAGCATTTTCAAGTTAGGGGTTTTAGCAATGTCAGATTTCTCAAAGCCTGTAATAGAGAATAGGTGGAAAGGTGGAGAGGGCAATGGAGCTACAGAGTTCTCACCTACAGCACAATAACCTCTCAGCTGGAAAATGCGGGCCACCACCTATCCAGCAAAGTCAGGGACTTCGAATTAGACAGTCTTAAATCTCACCTTATTAATAGGTAAAAGTTCAGATATTCCCCCCCTTTACCCTATTCATGCACAGTGGTATTTTCTGTTTATACATGGAGAGTATATTGTATAGTTCTTGATTGATTTTGTTATGTACAGAGTGAGGCCAAATGATGCTTTCAATGGTAATAGAGGACACTATTGCCATTTTAACTAAATTGTCCGGTTGAGGGAAGAAGAGTAAAGTTGATAATTTTGAATACTTAAGAAAATACATCACTTTGCCACTGGTGCAGAACCTGTAATTATGTGCAATTCCCTGCTTAAGAATCTTTAGTTATGCTGAACATTGAAAAAAACTAAATGGGGAGGAGAAAAGAAGGGAGTTTTAAGCACTCAACACAAGATGTTCATTTAAATAGAGACATTGCCTTACCAGAAGGGAGCAGTTAAGGGTTTGGTTGTCCCACTGGCATGCTATTATCAAATCTTCATCTTTAAACCATGGATTTGCAATCCTTCTAAATCTTCATTATTATTTTGAAATCAAGACTGGTTCCTTCTGTTCAAAAAGCATGATCATTTTTCACTGATATCTTTTTAATGCTCTGACTTTTTTGCTCTCTGGAAAAGATAAATCTTCAAACCTTGGACCTAGACCTTTTTTTCTCACCAAACCCATAACATGATCATTTCCTATCCCTCACATGGCACTAGCAGATAAGAGAACATGCCTTGCCCAGTTAGAAGCATACTGTGATTTTCATCAGGACTAGGAATGTAGTTGTAGACCTCAGTTAAGACATGATCAGCATAGGTCATTACAGACTTTCTTTGATTCTGTTTGGAAGTCCTCTGAAAACCCAGACTGACAAAGGGGATGCTTTTTAGTGGCCAAGTCAGGTGTCCCATAGAAAAGAGACATCCTCCAAATGAGAGAAACAGAAACCAGAGACAGGATGATTATAGAGGCAGTAGTTACTCTCTCCATCTGTGTCCAAATACCTGAAGAAAGCAATTCAAGGAGGAAAGATTTAATTAATGGTGAGGACAACATGGCTGAGGAGCTCCATCCTCAGCAGGCCTCCTATATATATTTCAGTAGATCAGGAAGAACAGGACAAGTGAGGCTAGTCTAACACATAAGACCTAGCTAGGCCCCATCTCCCCTAAAATCTTCACAACCTCCTAAAATAGCACTAGCATCTGGGGACCGAGTATTCGAACAATTACATCTATAAGGGCCATTTCACATTTAAACCATAGCACAGGGTCTTGGCCTTTTCTGGTTTCTAGGGACTTTGTCCATACTTTATAGTAGAAATGAATTTACATTTAAAAAGGTGCTGTCTTCTTGTATGGTGGTATAAATCTTTAATCCCAGCACTCAGGAGGCAGAGGCAGGGAGATCTCTGAGTTCCAGACCAGCCAGGGCTACACAGTAAAATCCTGTCTCAAGTAAGTAAGTAACTAACTGGGGAAGAAGAGACAAATCCAAAGATGAGTGTGGTAGTCAGCTTTCTGCTACGGTAATAGCACATCTGAAATAACACACTTAAAAGAGGAAAGGCTAATGTTGGTTCATAATTTTGGAGGTTTTAATAAATCGCTAGTTGTCTCTGCTGTATTTGGGCCCACAGCAAGGTATTACTATACAGAAATAGGGTATGCATAGCAAAGTTCTTACCTCATAGTGGCCAGGAAACAAAAACACAGGAGTCTAAGTTCATAATGGACTCCCAAGGACAATTCTCCCAATGAGTTAACTCCCTCCCACTAGGCCCTACCCCATAAAATGTTCCATCAATTCCCAATATACCATGAGCTAGGAAACAAACCTTTAACATATGAGCGAATCACAGAACTATTCAGAATCAATGGAAAACAAAGCTTGAGGTTCTCCCTGATGAAACTGCCTGGGACTAGGTGATGACAGAGTCTGAGGGTCTCAAAGAGCTGAGAAATTAAAGAAGAGGGGGCAAGCCACTGGCTGATGCAACAGTTAGAGAAAGAATGTGCCCTTGTTACCAAGGACATTTGTGCAAAAATCACACAAAAGTGGCCTCTTGCCAAAACTAGTTACATAGCAAATTACATGACAGTCAAGCTAATTGTTTACTCATGGTTTCCCACATAGCCAGTGGCAACCATTTTAACTATCTCATTCCAGATATCTATACCATCGCCATGTTATTTAAACCTTTATCTGACCCTTTTGGTCTTTTCCCTCTTTGTTTCCACAGCAGTATTTGGTTGGAAGAATGCCATTGCTTATGTGAGACTCCCTGTTTTGAAGCTGTGATGCCAGCCCTCAAAGGTGACTGCACATATATATGTGTGTGTGTGTGTGTGTGTGTGTGTGTGTGTGTGTGTGTGTGTGTGTATGTATGTATGTATGTATTATGTATGTATGTATGTATGTATGTATGTATGTATTTTCTTCTCATCTGAGTCTGCCATCATTTAGCTCTGCTGGCAACTGTCATTGTGAGTGACCTGTAATCATTGTTCACTGGCAGGCTCAGGTGAGCACATCTCATTGAGTGGTGTCCTAAATGGTGCAACCTGCTTGGTAAATTCTGGTAAGGCATCTTTCTGGGACACTGTTCTCAAATTCTACAGAGGGCAGACAGTGCCCTCGCAATACCTTCCAAAGCCCATAAGGAATGCCTTGACAGATCCCCGAGGGGCATACCAGCATTCACTGAAAAAAACTACTTCTATTGTTGCTCACATCTGACTGCCTCTCCTCCTGATGGAAAACACAGGTAAGGCGTGATGTGATTAGAGAAACAACAGCCCTTTTCTCCCCTATCCTTGTGAGGTCTTGATTTACCATCTTCCCTACTGAACACTTGGGAAGTTTAAATGTGTGATACACAGCCCCTGCTTTTCAGAGTCTGCACCCTTATTAGAAACAAAACAAAATGATACTTATGAACACCTGTTGATGAGGACTGAACCAAGTAGTAGCAGTGTGGGTGGTGGATGGGAGGTGTTGCCTGGGCAGTAAATCCAAGTTGCTTACACCAAAGGCAGTGTTTCTAGGGAAGCTATCTGGGTAAGTGGTAAATACTTAGTCATCTAGGACAGGCCATAAATGACTAGTTCATCAACAAGGGAAGGTCTGCTTTCAAAGTGCTCACAAAATGGTAGGATGATATTTTCCTCTTCAGCCCACCCTTGATGCACCCTTGTTTAAAAGTGTAAAGGCTTCTATAATCAAACCTTTGTTGGTAAGGTGTTAAACAGCTATAATTTGGTTGCTGGGTGTCATTTGAACAATATTTTTTGAACTATGATTCTAAATAACAAATCAAAATGGATCCAATCCCCTATGAAGTCTGAGATGGTGAGGTATACACATGGGCTTTTCTCCTGCTCCCCAGTGTGGTGGGTTTTATAATTCTGCTTTTTAACTGTCTTGTCACATCTGTCTCCTTCCTTCAATCCATCTCTTACTCACACCTTTCAATAACCTTCTGATCTCTCACCCCATCGACTACCCATCTGCAACAATCCTTTCAAAATCATGGGTGCTGCTGATAAACTTAAGGCTCCCCTACCACAGAGAGAGAGAGAGAGAGAGAGAGAGAGAGAGAGAGAGAGAAGAGGAAACAAAATTCTGGGATTCAGGATGTCATCTAAACCCCACCTACTATCCCCTTCGTGTGTCCTAAACTCCATTTATCCCATCTAATTTGCCTTTTGCATGCAGCACCACCTACACTTTTATGTCACTTTTGAGCATGACTCACTCTACCCAATATACCTTACAAAGTCACCTTTTGACCCCTCACATCATTTCTACTACCTTTCTTTTAATTCATATTAATCATCAATCACTCCTTCCTTTAGGAGTTTCCTCTCTCTTCTCTCTCCCTCCCCCCCTCTCTCTCTCTGCCTCCTTCCCTCCTTCTCCCCTTCTCCCTCCCTCTCTCCCTCTTGCGGCCCTTCTCCCTCCCTCATTGAGATATTCTAAAACTACATAACTTACTCATTTAAAGTATCAAATTTAGTAGCTTTAATATAATCAACACATTTGTACAACTATTACAATTAATTTTGTAGATTTTTTCATTACCTTTCAAAGAAAGCCCATATCCATTAAATGCCAGTCAATAGTCTTCCTTTTATTGTCCAGCCTGAGGCAACCATATATTTGATTATTCTGGAGATTTCATACTAATGGCATTGATAATATGCGCTCCTTGTGTCTTTTTTTTTTACAGTCCTTGTGGCTGTTTTTTACTTAACATAACGTCTTCCAGGTCTGTCCATGTTGTAGCATGTAAATTTACTCCATTACACAATATCATGGCTTTTGGTGGTAATGGTGTGTGCTTGGGATCAAACTTTATATAAGCTAAATGTGTGTAACTCTACCATGGATTTACATGTGAAGCCCCTTTTTTATTTTTGAGTGGTAGTTCATTACATTTATTTATGCTTTACTAGATTATGGACATTTGAGTTGTTTCTACTTTAAACAGCTATGAAGAATGCCTGTCTAAGACAGTTTTACTTTTTATTAACAATTAATGTGTGGCTTAATATTCTAGAGTGTTTTGTGTCCTATTTTTTTAAAAATTTGGTTTTACTTGTAACAATAGCAAGCATTCAGTACATGTTTGACAGGAAGGTGCCTGAACAGGTATTGCTGGTTCTCCTTATGTAGATTTCTGAAGAAACACAAGGTACTTAGAGTTAAAACATAAAGTAAACCAAATGATACCTAAAGACTGCATCAGTATAATTACCCAGTAAATTATAAATCCCAAAGACTGATGGTCCTCAAATAAACCTTAATCTCTGCATGACTTCCTGGGAAAACATGGGGTTGCTTAGTTATTTCATGCATGTTGTTCCTTTGCTGATCATATTTGTGATCTGTTACAGGCCTGGAGACACCGTAAGTCCTTCCCTGAATTGAACCACAGTGTACTGTACTTGGACTTAGCTTATGATTGAATTCTAGAGTGGTGGTTCTTGATTCTGGCTGGACATCAGACTGAATGTCCTGAAACTCCCACTTAAAGATAATCTGGCTTCCACCCCTTCCCCAGTTTACAAGTCTAGAAGCTCAGAAAGGGCTGGGTATTCACATGCTCTTAAAAATGTAGACATTTCTGGTTTGAGAATAACTGTTTGAAAGCCAGCCTGCAATTTAAAATCTTCATCATACAGAGTGCAAGCACATAGTTCTGGACAGTACTTTACTCATCCTGAGACGATGCTGCTACTAAGGCTGCCTCCCATTTATAAGCCCTTTTTATTTGGAAAGAGTTTGCAGTCATCTTTTATTAGCTAGACTCACATGCTGGGTGACCTTGTACAAATCACATAATCCTTTTGTGTTTTAAATTTCCTCATATGTAAACTGTAGGTGGTAATACTGACCCACCCTCGAGGGGTACTGTGGAGACTAATGGAGGCCTATAAAGCAGTCGCCAAACACAAGAATGTTCCGTGCATACTTATTAGACAGGTATGAAGTCTAGTCACAGCCTTTTAAAATGAGACAAATAGCAAAAGAAACACTTGAGTAGGCCTTCCTGCAACCTTTATCATCATTTGAAAGATCATTTCCCAGCACCAACGTACAGCAATTCCTTCTCACTACCAAAAACTAACAAGCAGACACAAATTATGGTCAAAGAAAGACAATGCAGTAAATAAGTTTAGAAAGAAGCCCTGAGATCAGTTTGCTAACTGTCTCTTATCAGCTTAAGATTCAACTGGAGAGTATACCTATAAATGCACACATAGGGAAAAAAAAAACTAAGAAAATATTTATACATGTTCACATAGGTCCTCAGTTGCTACTTCTTGATGTTAAGCTGAAAATTGTATTCTTCTTTACTGATGTCTTCTGTGTAGCAACATTTAGCCTCATTTCTCCCATATGACAGAAAGAATATGTGGTCAAATGAGACCTTCACCTCTATTTCACAATGTGACTGGGTGTGAACGAGAGAGGGATCCATAGCATGGGAATCTGGGTAGGTTTTATAAACATGTTGGCCCACAGCTAAGAGCTCATTTGTCCGAGTTCAACTTCTCAGAAGAAGGATGCAGAAAACAAACCTGATTTTTAACCTGTATTTTAAATTCTTTTCTGCATTTTGCCTTGAAATGGTCAACATTTAAAGAACCAGGTCCACTTTGCATGCTATTCAATCCACAATTGAATGCTTTCTGCAACTCCCCACATTAGCTAAGATGATCCAGGAGCCGGGCCTTCCTGGCACCTGAGCTTGATCTCACTCTTACCTCTTTGGGTCCTTGAGTTTAGGTTGAATTCCTGAGGACAGTTTGTTTCTTTGGTTAGTGTCAAGATTTATAACAATTAAATTCTGTGTAATAAATATTTTTGAATCTTAATATCTGTGGGCAGTACCACTGTTCTTACTGTGGAGGCTACCAGGAGTTCTTTGAGATGCCTCAGTGTTCCTGTAATTTGGTGACCTTCACTTATAAGAACACCAGGCTCCCACAGACACCCCTAGGATTTGGTTGGCTGATGTGCCAGTTTTATGGGGATTCCTAGACTAACCTTTGACAATAGGCAAATTGAAATATACTTTTCATTTTTCACCCTGTGACAGCTTTTAGAGCCTGATCAGAAAAATAAGAGAAGTCTGGGATGAATCAAGTCCAGCTCCTAAGGCCTACCCACAGGCTTGAAATTCATATATTTTATCTTGGCATTTAAATGACCTGGAAAACCTATTCCTTTTCTACCCTCTGTTCCCTTCCCCACAACAACTCTGCTAGATCTGGGCATTCTCCTATATTGTATTAAATTATTTGCTCATCTTCACATTTCTGTGCCATTCCTACAACCCACAGGCCCCATCTGTCAAAACTGACACAACCTTCAGTGGCTTTGAATTCCACTGTCTCCAAGAATCCTAGCAAACTCTCACTTCCTTCTCCTCCTCTAAACTATGGTCCTTTCTCATCAGGGCACTCCTGATTGACAGATCACTTCCTGATCCAGCAGAATGCAAGTTCCTATACGACAGAGGCCACACATAAGGTACCCATATTTGTGCACCACTACTACACAGACTTTGGTGCCTTTCCAAGAGTAAGTAGTACTGAATAGGCATCTGATTGAATGAACAATTTCTCACCCTGCCCTTATTGTGCTCTTGGACAAAACCCCTTGCCTCTTTCAGTCTCAGATGCCTCTGCTATGAACAGAGGATAACAGCACAGGCATACTCCCCAGGTGTGCAGGAAGAATAAACCAATGACTGAAAAGCAATTTAAAATTGTAAAATGAGATGCTATATAAATGTTACATAATCAAAATCCTTTCCTTCTGTATTATGTTTTATTTGGCTTTATATCTTCAAATCCTTTGTGGGTTTCAGGATTTCACAGATGCAATACCATTCACATTTTAGTACCTAGATTCTCCGAGGTAATAAACAATTTTGTGTATTATAGATCATGGCTACTTTTCCTTGGCACACTTACACATGAATCTGTCCTAATTTAGGGTATTCATAATAACTAATGATACAATTCATTTCTAAGGGATAATCCATTTTTTTTCAGTCTTTGACTGGCCATTTTATTCCAATAGGGTTGCCTCCAGGGAACTAGTTCCCATGAATCTAAAATCTGGGTGATGAACATAGATTTTTTAGAAACCTAAATCTTCTTACAATGAGACCTGGAAATGGCTTGGGTTTTAAAGCATTGTTTGTTTTCTATGGCCTTCTTTATCTTCCTTTTGATTTGAGTGTCACCAAGCTGTCATTGCAATGTGATGGCCTAGGCATCAGGAAAGATATGGATTAGGTCTTTCCACAGGAAAGTAGAGCAGTACTAGGTTAAGATGCTATTTTCTTCCTTGATATATGTTCAAGAAGTTGCCAGTAGAAAAATACATTTCCCTATATTATCTCTAGTTCCTATAAAGAGCTTTGGATCTATAAGTACATAGCCTCCTATTATCCCTATAACAGTTTTTCAACTTAGAAATTCTGAAGAAGAGGAGATGACAGTGATATGACAGGCTATCCTTAGGATTAAGGGAATCCTCAGATGTTAAACGGTTAGTAGAGCGTGGTATTTAGTAAGTGATCAGTATTATCAATAGAGGGCCTTCCATGAGCCTGGTCCTGTGCTAGCTCTTACTCAAGCTTCATAACAAGCTAACAGGGCAAACCTAATAACCTCCATACTCCCAGTCTCAGCAATAGGATTTCCAAAGAATGGAACTTCTTCACATAGCAAGAAATTCTTCCTTTTTTAATTCTGTTTGTGACAGTTAATATTATGTGTCAATTTCACCAAACCACAGACTAGTCAGATTAAACATTATTTCTGGATGTTTCTATGCTGATGTCTTGGTTAGTTTGACAAAGCTACAGTTATCTTGGAAGAGGAACATCAGATGAAAAACCACTTTCATCCAATTGCCTATAAGCAAGGTGGTGGGGGCATTTTCTTGATTAATGATTGATATAGGAGACCCAGCCCACTATGGATAGTGCCACCCCTGTGGTCCTAAGTTGGATAAGAAGCAGACTAAGTGAGGCATGAGAACAGACCAGTAAGCAGTGTTCCTCTGTGTTCTCTGCCTCAGTTCCTGCCTCCAGATTACTGCCTTGAGTTCCTGTCCTGACTTCCCTGCAGGATGGACTATAATTATAAATGGAAATGAAGTGGTTTCTGGAGGAGAGTAGCATTTGAATAGGTGTATTCAGTAGATCAGCTCTCTAATGTGAGCATCATCCAATCTGTGCAGGATTGAAAACAAAAGAAGAAAAATCCCAGTTTTGCTTCCTGCCTGCCTGCTGGAGCTGGAACACTGATTTCTTGGCTTTAGACAGACTTCTATACCACCTTACCTGATTTTTTTAAGTCTCAGGGAGTAAAGTTAAATCACTGGTTTTCTTGGGTCTCCAACTTACAAAAATCAGATTAGGGTACTTTTTGGCCTCCATAATTGAGTCAGTTTCTCATAGTGAATTTCTGCCTGTGTATGCATTTATAGATCGCATAGGTTCTGTTGTTCTCTGGAGAGCCCTACAGTGGAATCCATCCTGCCCATCACCACCTTGAGCACATAATCCTCCCTTTCACAATGGCTGCCTAATCCCTCAGGGTTGCTCATTTCATTATGAAGTTTTTTGTTTGTTTGTTTGTTTGTTTTTGATCTTTCCCCCGCCCCCAGGTTGTTTTGTTTTGAGATAAGGTCTCATTCTCATTATGTATCCCTGGCTGTCCTGGAGCTCACTATATAGACCAGGCTGACCTCAAACTCACAGAGATCTACCTGACTCTGTCTCCAGAGTGCTGAGATTAAAGGCATGTGCCACTCTGCCTGACTTCATTAAAACTAGAAGTGTTTGTTTTGAATTTCCCCTGGTAGATTCCTGACCACCTTGTGTAGTTTTCTACCAGGTCATCATTTTTTCAAGATCATTAGAGTCTTCCATCAGGCTTGTCCTCAGTGGTATAAATTTTTAAGAAATTCAACATAGTTTTTCTTCTGAGAATGTATGTTGAAATCCCAAGTGTTCGTGGAACAAAACTGCTCTTGCCTACCCATTTCTGTTAGCACATTTTATCTCAGTTGGACCTGTACCAATCTAACTCTCTAATGAAGAAGTTGCTTTGACATCCAAGTAGAAGATTGCATTGTTTTGTGGCTGATAACACACTGGCTGAAGATGCTGTGCCATCAAAATCTCTTACAAAAATATATTCTAGTTGATGTATACAAACCAATACCATACTTCCATTTTTCAAAAACACCTCTATGATATTTTGTAGTCTCAGACTGCTTTGCCGTTAGTTATGTCTCCCATCTGTATGAAATTGATCAGAAATATCACTGCATTGTCATCCATGGGAAACTACTAATGAAGTTAATGACTTGCTCAAGGTTTCAGAATGATTCCCAGGCAAAGATGCTTTTAGAGTGTATAGCTTCTGGCAGGAATTTATAAATGTCTGCATTTCCTTGCAAAATCTTGTGGGTGGTCCTTTTAAAAATGTGAACAGTTTTCAAAGTAAATCTGTGCTAAAGGGGATGGTGGGAATGGAAGAAGGGGGAATATAGTCTTTAGTTAAGCAAGTTTTTCAACTCTAGCTCTGCTTCAACTCTTTCCATTTTAATTATGCATTCTCTCCTTTTTAAAGTGTGTGTGTGTGCGCGCGCGCGGATCAAGATTCATGGAACTAGGTTCAATATAGGTTAAATATAATTTTATTCAGGAGAAGTTACTTACACAAGAAGCAGATGACTGCCGCAAGTTCCTGCTCTAAGGATCCACACAGGCTGCCCCTCTGTCACCCGACCAGAAGCAAGAGAGTGCCACCTGTCTGGACCCCAGACCTAGAATAGTCTCCATCATGTCACTTCCTCACCTGTGACCAAGCCCAAACAGGCGGGGGGC